TCGATATTTGCACGTCAATTTCAGTATAATATATTAAATTTATACATTAAAGCATTACATTCCATGTTTCATTGATTCTTCATGTTGGGTGCTGATCCAGTTAATTTATATATACATGTACATCCCTATATTATAGAAAACCAGAGATTCATTATGGAAGAATGTGATCTGATTGGATAATTTTTGTCGACCATCGTTATATCCGAAACAGGACGGAAAAGGAAGAAACCCCGCGGTTACAACATGAAAAAATTGTAAGCGTCCGAAGTGGTTTGCGGTGTCGCGCGATGATCATAACTTCCCATTGCCTTTTGCAGACCTGTACAAGACGAGAAAAAAAAAAAGTGTCGGCTGCCAAGCCGAAAAGCTTGCACCGGAGGAAATGATAAATATCGGTGCGCGAGTACGTGACTGGGTCATTCGTGGATTTTTCAGGACGGTGAAAGAGAGTGCAATGGGTGTCGCGTCCGGACGACGAGGAGGCTTTATCGTGACAAATGGCTGCGGGACGAAAATTTGCCTAATTAAAACGTGGCACGGTCAACAGCCGCGTACTCCGTATACGGTAGAAAGGGATTAATTCTCCTCCCGCGTCGTTGGTACGACGGAATTTAACCCTTACTCGCCGCGCGCAATCTGGGATCAACGTGTTTTTATTTCAAAAAAGAGACGGAGAGAACGAGAGAGAAATTACCAGATTGGATTTGTTCGTTTGTTCATTTCCTTCGTATTGCTTAAAATATCACTCTCTATGTCTCTTTCCTTTTTTTTCTTCTCTCCCTCTCTCTCCCTCTCTCTCTCTCTCTCTCTCTCTCTCTCTCTCTCTCTCTGTCTCTCTTCATTTGGCGTGAAATAGATTTATTCATCTCTCTCAATTCAGAATTTTTTAATCTTAAACTTGTTTTAAGTGCGCAAAAACAATTCTAGGCTAGGTATTCATCTCGATATTCATAATCCGTTTTTATCTTAAGACCATTTCAAGTCATGTCATAAGATAATAATACTCTGACTGATGACATTTCAAGATGGTCCTAAATATAAAAACCGACTATAAATATCGGCCCTAATCTCTTGGGATTTAAGATTTATTGACACGATATGCTATTTCCACGACAAAATATAGATTAGCTTGATCGTATCATCCCTGACAATTTACTTCGAATCAAAGGAAGGGCCCTCCAAGTAAACCTCGCGCATTTAATACAATCGATCATGCACCAATAATTGCAACCGCGCCGTTTCCCGTCTCGCCGGGCCGTTTCTTCTAACTCGATAGCTTCTCGAGGACTCGGACGAGGTCCAATTGGTGAAGAACGCCGTTCGATAAATCCCTCGACAATTCTGGCGCGCCGAAAAGAGCCGCAGCCAATCCCATCCCCCAACAGTCGATTCGCTCGCTCGGCCATTCGGAAAAAGCATCCCAACCACTTTGCGGTGTCCCCCTTGGTTTACTCGTTTTTTTGCTCTTTCCTTTCTGCCCGCATGCTTATCCTTTTCTCTCTCGTTGTTACTCGCAAGCTCGAGGGTTACTGTGCTTGCAACCAATGTGACTTTTGACTCACGCGACGATTGTATCGATTCCGCTTGTTCAATTCAAAATTTTATATTCTCTCTACAGGATTCAATTACATTTAAAATTTATACATTTATATTTAAATTATATTTAAAATCATATTCCGGCGGAATCCAAATGTGCATTAATAATTTCGAGTATTTACATTTCTATTGAATAAATAAAAATATATATATATATACCGTTTAATTAATTTTTGACTCGTAAAAATTAATCGTATGCGGTTGAATATTGTTACGATTTTCGTCGATTTTGTGTGTTGCTTTGCAATGTTATGGCGCATTTTGTGTTCTGATAAATAATCTAAAGCATGAAAGAAGTTTTCCATGAAAATGCGCATGCGATAATTAATTATATCCTGCTCTGTTTTATTTAAATTAATACTACACTGGACTGGCAGCAATTAATACGAAACTGAACAATTTAATTTGAAACTCTGTTTCTACTTGTGATTCATCATACCGTTCCGAGTATTATCTTCCACTTCATCTTCACTTCAAAGTACGACAACCACACTCGCGTAATTTTACGGGTGTGCGTTTCTCCATTTCGCCTTAACCATTGGATTCATCTTAATTAAATCAAAAATACATCTAAATGAAACGTCAAGTTCGAGACAAAAAAAGTAATGTTTTATCACCGGACATCTTTTTCGCCGAGTTCTAAACTGAAATAAATTATTTTAGCTTATAGTTTTTTTTATATTATTCTCTTAAACGAAGAACATTTTGATATTATTCTCTTTCTCTTTTAATAATTAAAAAAGTATAAAATATTTCCTACTCATTTTCATCAAGTATCAATTTTTTTATCACTCTGTTTTTTTTTTTCTAAAAAAAGAAGTAATTTAACTTTTCCTATCATACACAATTTTAAATTATTATCACCGTCGCGAAGGATAATCGGAAATTCATGAAAAAATAGTTCAATTCTCAAAAACGACGGTCGGGTTGCATCTACATACAGCAGGCCCTACAGCATTTGCGCGTAATAACTGCGATTCGATCGTGCGAGCTCGCACACAAACGACGCGATCGAGAGAGGCTAGGCATTCCGGAAAATTCTCTCTGGAAGAAACGAATGTCGATTGACGTGCGCGGGTGGGAATTAAATAAAAATCACGCGAATCGTAGATTTGGACCACGCGCACCCGGAAACGAGATGAGCACCGAGCTCGCCTGTTCGCTCGGCTGGTCTCTGCATGCGAATGAGGGAAACGTGCGGTGCGGGGACGAAGGGTGGAAGGGACACGAAAGGAGAACACCTCGAGGGTGGGAAGGGTTACAGTTCCTCGTCGCCGAAGCCAAGTCGAGCCAAGAAACGGAACGGAAGGAAGACTGCATTTATTAAACTGAGCGCAGACGTGCACATCACCCCTCTTCTTCGGCTCTCTACATCCCCCGTCTTCGTTCGTCTTTCACCCCGCGGAAACTACGGGCTTTCGCGCTCGAGCAATCCCTCCCCCACACCTCGACTTCTCCTCTCGCCACTCTTTTCTTCAACCCTCCTACTGTTCGTAATTCCTGGCCGCCGCTACTACCCTCCCTGGAATGAGGTCGGTATGTGTAAAATAGTGCCCCGATACGCTCTTCATCACCGAGTCGCTTCTTCGCCGTCCGCTTTATTTCTTCCTCTCGCTTTCTTTCGCTTGTCCCTTTTATCTCCACTTTACTCTCTATCTTCCGCTCTTTCTCTCGAACGTGTTTCTTCTGGCTATTGTCAATAGTTGCCGCTTTGCTCGAATTTTTCGCACATTTCCGTTTCCCTTGATCTTCTTCGTGTCATTCTTCTCGAATAACGTTACACTTTTTTTTTACAATTTTTTCCCCTATATTTTGTATGCTCCTTTTTTTGTCATATTTCGCAATCTTTTTATTTTTCGCTCTTATTTTTCTCTTGTCCCATTTTTTTCCCTTCGGATCTTTTTACCTCGACTCACTTTTACCACCCCTTCTCGGACTATTTATGGTTTTTCAATTTGCTTCGGTGCTTTCTTCTTTTTACCTTTATCCCTCCCTCCAAGAATCCGTCTCTATGTACCGCTTTTCTGGAGCAAATGTCATGCACTAACACGATTGAAATGCGAGTGGTCCGACTGTGCTCGGTATTTAGGTTTGTACCACATTCACCGACGAGAATTATCATCGGTGAAAGCCGCCGGAAATATCGATCGGTCGGGCGATCGTGGATGACGAATATGCGCCGGGCGTATCGCACCCCCGTGCTGTTTCTCTCTTTCCCACCTCTCATACTCTCGCTGTCTATCTCTCTCTATTTGTGCGACGTATACTGGTGGCACTGCGTCGCGTGTGGGGGAAACGAGACAATTAATCAACCGACACAATCGCGCACCTACTCGCGCGACTCGCTCGAGCCCCGTGACTGATTCATTATGAGACCTTAATTAAGTCCCCGGACATTAGCATACCGACCACGCGGCAACCCCCTCTCTTGCCGCCGCTGTGCTTCTCTTATCATCTACCCTTCGCTCGTCTGTATTCTTTCGGTACGATGCACGGTGTTTGATCTTCTGGAATTCGCGAAACTGGATCAGCTTGACCCTCGACAGGAGCAAAAAAACGATCTTAATCGAAATAATTATTCACGGAAGGTACTCTCGGCAAATTATACGTCCAATTGTAAGAATTCTAGACTGGTTAATAATATGATTAGAAGAGAGTTCTGTTAAATTAATCATTCCGTTACAATCTCTATCGCGGAGACTAAAATGTTTTAAATGAGTTTGATGCGCAATTCAGAATAAATCTCTTGTCAGCCAATTACAAATTTGCATTTTACAAATGAAGAAAAAGTACGTCCACGAGAGCGAAAGGTTTGAAAATGAGCGCAGGTGTGTCCGTCTGGGGTAGTTTTATCTTATCACGTGCTGGATGGCTGAGCCTTCCGACGCGAGAATTCTTTATTGGGCAGTTAGACACCACTGATAAAAACGCGCCGTTTTGCCGCTCATACTAATGAAATTTTTTCAGACAGATTTTTTTTCATCGTGAGAGCTGTTAAAAGTCAACTATTATTTCAAAGTCTACTAAATTTAATCCCAATCGATATTTGCAGATCCAATGAACCCGGACATTTTTTCACCTACGTTGTGAATGATTGTTTATAATAAATTTTCCATGACTTCACATAATTTTCTTTTTCAGATTTTGATCTTCATAATGAAAAAAAAATTGTTATATTAACTTTAAACAAAGATATTGATTTAAATTATACTAGACTCGCGAATATCATCAAGAAAATTTTCGAGCTAATACTGATTAAAGTTAAAAATCCGTATTAATATTTATGGCTCCAATTGCGTCAGATGGTACAATCCAAATTTCGCGTCGGTCGAAATTTTCTCGCGAAAAAAGAAAGGCATTTTCTTTCCTCCCGCATTTCCGATTAACGAGTCTCCGTCAATAAGATTAATCGGTGATCTTTTAATTTTTCAGCACGCTGAGGTGGAGGATGGAGGAGCTGGAGACGCTGGAGAGCACGGAGTGCCCGGAGTGCCCCGGGCCACCCCCTGAGTTCCGGTTGCCGCCGCCCCCTCGACCGCCCTTCCTCACCGAGGGCACCTTCTGCTCGGAGTCACCCCTCGCCGAGCTCGAAGACTGCGTTGCTATCCCGGTAAGTCCGACCTTTCGATCTTTTCTCTTGATTCTTCTAAGCAATTCGATTTACTGTGCACTGATAAGGAATGATTATATTTCCCTTGTCCGTAGAAATTTTTCATTCACTTTTCAGCACGATCGCAATCGCAGGAATTACTTGTAAAATGATAGGGAACCGTTAGTTGAATGTTTGAATGATTTTCTCAGAAATCGAAGAAAGAAGATTAATTAACTTCAAAAGTATTAATCAGTTAAAGCGGTAATACATTTTATTACGTTTTATCTAGTATAAGTATTAAAATAATATCTCAATTACATATAATATGTACTGAGATAAATATTTTACATTACGCTAAGTACATGATTTACGAAAACATTCTTTTTAATTTAAAAATTGTTGTTCTACAATCTAATTAAAAATTCGGTTATTTTAATCAAATTTTGATTCGAACAACAAAATTGAAAAATTAAAGTGTAAGAAAATTTTTTTGTAAGTCACATATCATGTAAAACATTTTTCTCAGTATATCTGTAATCGCCATTGCGATATGAGTGCGAATTGTTTCGATGTAGAGCGCGGCCTTTACTCGATGTTACTATACGTTATTTCCGAGGAAATATCCGTGTGTTCGATAGTTCGATATGCGCGCAGTCGGTGACCCGTACTAATCTGCAAATCGCCTTTGCCTAGCGTTCGTCGAACGACGTATTCGGTAATTCCCCGACGCGACTCGCTACTTCACGTCCGTAACTAACTCTGTAATTCAGTCTTCTTTCCACGGCTTACATCGATCTTCCGTACGGTCGATTCTGTGCTCCCGAGACGCGGTGCAATGTACGGGAGGGTTGCCGCTTTTACTGTTCGCTACCCATTCGAGGAATATTTGCGCCCCACGTTCACTGTATTCGCGAGAGCAGCCGGAATTCGAAGATCGATGGTCGGAAGTTACAGCGGCTCGAATCGCGAACTTCGCTCGAGTTTCGCGATTATTAAAATGCCGCGCGAAAAAAAATGGCGAAAAGTTCGAGGGGGTTCAACCTCGGGTATACTTAATCGCGCGGAAAAATTATTACGCGACGTAGATCCTCCCCCGGGAAGATGCCAATCTATTTAGTTCGTTCCTGGATGTAATCCAACAAATTAGTTGCGTGCTCAGAATTATAATCATCGCAATTATCTACTCTAATTGAATATGCATCATACAGACGAAGTCGACATCAATCGCAAAATATCAATGATTATATTATTCAAGAGAATATCAGTAAATCAAATATACATGACATTTGCAATGAATAGCTTTTATCGATGAATTTACCTTGAATTTGGTGACCCATTTCAAGCGTGGCCAAGACGCACGCTGTTCGCGATTTCGAAGTGTTAAATTCTTCTAATTATCTAACACGCTCCCGTTCTTCTCTCTGCTGAAAAAAAAAAAAAAATCAACATTAGGCGAATACTTGAGTGAGACTCCTGCACGTCTCGTAAAAAATTCGCTGCCGAGTACCGGGCATTTAATTGCAAGTACAATCGAGAAAGACTTCGTTCTTTCCCCGCGTAGGAGATAAATTGGATATCCTGCTGTTATCTCTTTGATCCGCCAAATGCGCGCAAGAACTGTCTTGAATAATAGAGTATCATGGAGAAATAGATGGCAGAGGAAAAAAGAGTGGGAGGGACAAAAAGAGGTGGTGCCCTGGAACAGCCAAGGGGAAAGGTTGAAGTTAATGTAAAATACATAAACGGAGTACTCGAGCAATTAAAGCAATCAGCATTCGCCGAGATTTTTCCGTCTTATCAAAGTGCCTTTTCCTGCGTCACCGCCCTTTTTAATCTTCCCAGTATCAGCATGATTCGCATAATATGTAACAGCCTGTATTTCTTTGGTAATTTATTGCTCGTCACGCTAGAAAGCTTTTATTGAGCTTTCATTTGGATGTTGTTTCGAGATATTGTTACGTTCCAATAGCGCGGATGTAAATGTCTAGTTTATTCTTTACAAGCTCTAGTAATTTGTCGATCATATTCGCGTGCACGGCACTAGCGTTAATTAATTACAATAACTGTGATAATAATAATAATAATAACAGGCATCGATGTGCAGCACGACTATGATTTCGACTTTTTATTGGAAGATAAATAGAGCATGTCGGCGGACACACGTCGAGCGCGATTAACTCTTATTTCATTTTACATCTGCTAATGGATTACACTGCGCGAATGCGCGGTATAAACGTTCAGTTATTATCGCAAGTGTTTCCATATGAAGCTTTCAGATGTAACGCGAGTGAGATACCGAGTTGGAGGATTAAGATGAGCGAAAAAAATATTGAAACTCTATACATCCTGTAGATTAGATTCCATGGCTCTAACATTTTCTTACACTCTTAATCCTGTATCGCGTAGTACTTCCATAAATTCGAGGTACCAATTTTTTAATGAAAATGACATTTCGAATTATACACTAATAGGAGATTTTTTTTATTATCGTATGTATTTTTTTTCTCGATATATTAGCACGAGATACGAAATACACGAGATAATAATGAACACGTAATTATTTGAAGGTGAACTTGCGGTACTTTTCTTTTAGAGATGTAAAGTAAAGCTTATTCTACAATTGCGTAAGTTATAAGTGGTTGAATTGATTAATCACAGTCGAATATGAGGAAAATATTCAACTGTAGTTGATCTATTCTTATTACAATTAAACCACTTACAATTATGCTTCCGCATTTGTAGAATAGGCTTTAAACAAATGATAATTGACAACAATCTAACTATTTATATGTTATTGGTTATCATGATTATATAAATAAAGTATCGGTATTAGGTTTAGATGGATGATTGTAAATTTTTTTTCTCACAATGGAGAATTTCTGATTTCGTACTATTTATTATTTTCCCTCTTATATTTGGTGCTTATATCTCTTGTAATTTACGAAAGATTTTTATTTCAATGTATATCTTCAATTTTTGATGATATAAAAAGAGTGTGGGTGTTTCACATTGTAACTCGTTGTACAATTTCCTTTGTTCATCAGCGTGATCTATAAGGCACAACCGAAGGTGTGAACGAAGCATCGCGAATAAGGAAAAGAATTCCAATTAAAATGCGCCCCACGCAATTCTCTCGCTGGCCAATATTTTTCCCGGCTACTTCTCTTTAAGTATGATAACTCAATGAGAAGTATTGCTGTAAATTTTAACATCTTGTCGTTGCAATAATTGCATTGCGTTAGATAATTAAGTATAACTGATTGCTGCAACTATGAAGAATTTAATAATAATGTAAAATAATAATTTAACATTTTTTTGGATGCGAATAAAATAAACGTGAAATATATATAAGAGATACGCACAGAATACTACACGAAATGAGAACGATTTTGAATCTAAAAATTTAACTAGATTTAGATCTGAAAATAATTTGATTGGATCATCAAAATAATTTAAAATGCTTATACTAGTTGCTAGAATGTTGAAACTTCTTGCAATACTTGTATTATCAATATTTAAGTTATACAGTAATTATTTTTAATCCAACAAAATTATTTTCAGATCTGGACTTAAATTTTTAGATATTTCAACAAAACTGTTTCTTTCGTAAAAATCTCACATTCTTTCCTTTAAACTGGAGAATCAAATTCACGAGAGAAACGTTTGAAAACTGTATCCTTAGTTTTCTGTTCTGTTAAAAATGATCTCATTAGATCACGAGAGAACGATCTCGCCAGAGTTTTCCAAACAAGAATCGAAAGTGAAAGTGCAGTCGCGAAAATCCGGCAAGTCGAGCTTACAAAACGGAGCAGCTTTCTTGACAGCACAATTGCCATACACATAATAATCGCTCGCGCGTTACATCTTACCGTTGGTTAAATCGAGCGCAAATAAAAAGAGCGACACCCGACGCAGCTGGCGTTAAAAGTGAGCGGGTGGTAAGAATAATCGTCGCGACCGATGTAAATAGAGGGAGGTCACCGGACGGATGGGCGACACGAGAGAGCGTAGTTTTGGTATTGTCTTCAGCGGATGGTCGGCCTGTAGAAAAAAAAGAAAGAAGAGAGAAAGAAAAGGGGCGTATTTAACTCCGAGACGAGCACCGGGCACCGTTTCTCTTCCTTCGTCTTCTTCTTCTTTGGATCCTCCTGATCCTCTCGTCTCTCTCGCGACGCTAAAAACAACGTACGGCTATTAATAGGGAAACATATGTCTCCCGACCTTGTTGCACGCCACTCGACCCATTATCACCGCGCGATTTTACATCATTACAGATAATTGGAGACACGCCGTTTTCCGCGCTCCTCCAGGCGTCTCGATGAGAAGATATATTTCAGGAAGTTAACACCGCGTGACCCGAGATCCGATAGAGTCAATCACGTCTCTCTACAGTTTATACCGTTAGCCGTTGCATTCACAGGATACATTCGGTATCAAATGCAATCGATATTTTTAAAGCACATGAACGACTTTGTTAAAAATATAAAAATTTAGTTGAATAATAAATCTGAAAACAATTTTTTTAGACTATTAAAACAATTATAGAGAAAACGCTTAGACTGCTATTTAAAGCTTTTAGCAGTATTGCTCATCACGTGTTCGAATTTCCTACATAATTATTTTAATAGTCCAACAAAATTATTTTCAGATTTATCTATATCTAAATTTTTAATAAAATCTTATACTTTAATAAAATCTTTTCTTTCTATGCAAAATAATTGAAATAATTGAAATAAATGTCTTCATATCAAAACAACGTACTTGTACTTTATTGTTAACAAGATATATATATATATATATCGATAGATATATATCGCTTAGCATTATTATATCATTTAAATTGTGGTATAGCTAAACGCTGCAGTATTGATCATTCATGGACGCAGAATTACGGTTGATTAATATCGCTGACGCCACAGAATAGAGAACATCCTCTCAGAAATTCATTGAGATGAAATTAATTCGAAGTTGCAGTCGGAGGTACTGCTGTTCATAGTTTTGCTCGTCATTAAGTCGCG